TGTACTTACTTTTGCTCTTAGGGCAATTTAATCGTAGTTCTAATCAAGGTCAACCGTCCGTTGGACAAAGTCCAACGCGACGACGCGAGAGTAATGCCGAGAGTGAACGCACGCACGGAGACACAGACGGCTCGCGGGTGGCGAGAGTGAATGCCGGCGCGGAGAGCGGTCAATATCGGTCCAACGTAACGGTTGACCCTGATACCAAGTCGAAGTGGCCATTTGTAACGAGACCACCAGATGTGTTTTTGGACGCTGATCTCGAATCTGCTCTCCAAATCTGCGGAACGATTCTCTGAACGTAGTTATGAAGCGAGATAGTGCAGTGGCAGCGGCCCGGGCCGACGAGCAAGAGGTCGTGAGATCGACTTCTTGGCGAGTTCTCAGTTTTTTTTTGAGAACATTGTTCAAAGGAATCTCATTCATGCTAAATCATCAGCGACTGCCTATCCTACAAGTGGATAGAGCTGGCGAAGAGCTTCGAACACTACGCAAATGACCGTCTCTGGTACTCGTAGCGCACGTGTCAGGCACTTTCGTGCCAAACAGATATGATATTCTTGTTCAGCGTGTCAGACTACCCCTTCCGAGGACTTTTGGTCCAAATCTAAAACTTTGACCTGAAGTTGAAAATCTGGGCACACACGACCGAATGGAAACGGCAAATGACGCGCATAGTGTTCGAAGCTCTTCGCCAGCTCTACCCATTTGCAGGATAGGCAGTCGCTGATGATTTAGCATGAATGAGATTCCTTTGAAACAATGTTCTCAAAAAAGCAAAGCCAAGAAGTCGATCTCACGACCTACTGTTCGTCGGCCCGGGCCGCTGCCACTGCACTATCTCGCTTCATAACTACGTTCAGAGAATCGTTCCGCAGATTTGGAGAGCAGATTCGAGATCAGCGTCCAAAAACACATCTAGTGGTGTATGTCTCGTTACAAATGGCCACTTCGACCTGGTATCAGGGTCAACCGTTACGTTGGACCGATATTGGAGCGACGTTGGACCGATGTTCACCGCTCTCCGCGCCGGCATTCACTCTCGCCACCCGCGAGCCGTCTGTGTCTCCGTGCGTACGTTCACTCTCGGCATTACTCTCGTCGTCGCGTTGGACTTTGTCCAACGGACGGTTGACCCTGCCTGATATCCTTCCCTTGTCAGCTATTCGTGTTATCTAGTGTACTCGTGCATTCGGATTAGGTAAAATAGGTTTTCCTAGGCGGCTTTGGTTCACTAGGACAGAAGGCGACTTTTTCGCGTTTCGCAGCGCGAAACATTTTTCGCTGTGAAGAACCCCAGGCACAAGTTATCAGCGTGTGGACCTGAGGTTCCAGCGGAAAATGTTTCGCGCCGCGGCAACGCGAACAACTCGCTATCTGTCCTGGTGAACCACACCTTTTCTAGGCTGTCATTGCGGCCATGCGCGCCTAGTTTTGGAGCGCGCTATCGCTTTCTCAGAGGACTGAAAAGTATCGACAAGAGCTTTCGATTTTCAAAAGCAACGCTCCCTTTGAGAATGATATTGCGCAAGAGTCACGTATTTTTGAAAATCCAGAATTTTCTGCTTTCAGGGCTACCGAATTTTTCCCTTACTTTCGGAACTACCTTTTCTATGAGGTAAAAATACATTTCTCAGCAACTAGTCCTCGAAATGCGGAAATTCTCGTCCTTGAAATGCGGTTTAATGAGAAGTTGTGACAAAGTTTTAGAAAATAAATCATTTTCTTACTATAAATTATTTCAGTGTTCAATTGCTCGAAATATTGCCTTCTTCTGTTTTGTTCGTGAGAATGCGGGTTTTCAACTCTTTAGTGATAGTGACTTCCATCGGACATTCTTATGGATCTCTAAAGCTAAAAAGTACTGCGAGACTAAATTTTTTGGAAAGTGCTAAGAAGCCGAAATAATTACTTCTTTTTTAAGGGCGGAAGTGGTGTAGTGACAAGTGGCGCGCTCACCACGCGAGCGGTCCGGGGATCAAATCCTGGGTCGTGAGTCGCCCGGGCCAACCAAGCCTTCCATTGGTACCAGACTTGTCTGGGAGGATAAAAACACTGACTTGTACATCGGCTGGCCCCCGCAAGTCATTGTATAGGCCACATCGCATTCAAACGCCACTACGAATGTACAAATGGAAGTAGAATGCGTGCCGCATCCCAAAAAGGGATTGATCAACGGCAAATGCTTTATCCTTTTATCCTTTATAACATTTTTATGGAACTGTTATACCTTGCATTAGACGCATTTACACCCTTAACCCCTAACGGGTTTCTTCAAAATTGCATGAAAAACGAAACCACTGGACCGATGCTTCACAACAAATATTGATTTCTTCTGAAGATCGTATTTTGCTGGAATTTTCCACTGAAGATCAACTCTTTTCGTGCACTTTGGTTTGATTAAAAGCAAGCGTTTTCTGGGAAGTCTCATTGCTTGTGCTTACTGAAATATGAGCGCTTAGCAGAAACTTCGGCTCTCGGACGCGCCATGCACTCTTCCTAATTATAGGTTGCAGCGGACGTCTCTCCTCCATTGATATGTCGCGAAACTTTCTTCAACTGTCGCTGGTCTCTGTACTTACAACCTCCCCCCGCCCTTTCTTCCAAATACGACCATTTCCACATTGAACTTTGCACAACGGATGGTTGGCCCTGCTCTCACGTCGACTAACCTCTCCACAGATGATTTATAATAACCTCCAACGGCGTATAAACAGCCGTTGAGCACAGAGACAGAATGTCCGTGTCGTTTTCACCCATAGATGCTACACTGGTCCACTGATTTCGGCGAGGATCATATCTGCAACAGTGAACATTCCAATATGGGGAGCGACAGTCGTAGAATCAATGTCTACCGTTCAACAATATTCAGAGCTCCTGCATCACTAAGTCCGCCCACCGCATAAATGAAACCGTCAAGCGTGGCCAGCCCATGTCCAATCCGGGCATGGGACATGGGAGCTACGTCACTCGACCATGCTTCAGTAGCGGGATCGAATCTAAAGCACTCCCAAAACTTGAACATCCGAAATAACTATGTGTCAAATTAGTGTAATAATTCGCAAATACTTTACTATAATTCCTTTCATCTGCAAATGAGCATTTCATACCTTTCAGTGCTTTCGAACGTATTTCTATCGCCGCCACCAAAAGCGTACAGCAAGTTGTTACAGACAGCTACCCTCACTGGCCCTCTGCAAAAAGAAAACTTCCATCAGGGTCAAAGTAGTCTTCATCGTGAGTGTGAGTCCTTCCCTTGTTTTAACCATGGGAGCAACGATCTGCCAAGCAGGATTTGATTCTCCTAGATCGAAGCGTTCCACTGAAGCTGTGGCCGTCCCATCACAGTATCCTCCCACTAAAACTGTAAAGTTAAATATGATAAAACCAGTTTGTCTCCGGAATCCGTTGGACCTCCCTTTCCCTGGCTACTCTAGCACTTTTCATTGTGAGACGTCAAGGCAAACTTTGAGATACCGCCCCTGCCCCTACCCCCTCCACCGTCACAACCCTTCATACTCACGGTCTCCAAAAGGGTGTGATGGCTCTTTCAGCGCATGTGTTGGCCTCGAATCAGCTTATCTACTAGGAGAACACGTTTGAAATTGAAAACGTGTTCGAGCAAACAAAGCGTTCTTCATTCAGAACGAGCAAATTTTCAATCTGAAAGAAGGTTTGGAAGTCGCTGGGCGGGTACTTCCTAAAAAGTGCTGATTTGTTCGCAAACGGTGAGGAAGTACATGTTCAGGTAATAAGCGATGGAAATCTTTGGGAAGCGCGTGCTTTGCTTTGAGAAGTCATAACTTTCTCCTGATGCAGTATTACGCAAATGTTTAAAAGACATCGCAAACAAAAATTGCTCGGTCAAACGGTCACATTTTGATATGTATGTCAAAAATACCACCATTGAAGACTTCTCTCCAAGAGATCTTTTTTAATTGCATTGTCATTCCTTCAGCGAACACAGTCTCTTTCAAGAATTTTGTTTGGAAGAGAAAGGCGTTCGTGATCCACAATTCTCTGCTTTCTAATAAGTGTAGAAGTGCACTGCAAGCAGAGTCAACCCTGCGTAGCGCAGTTCGCAACGGCACGTCGAGAGATCCTCA